CACTGAGCGAACCAACCCAGCAGGAACCGATGGTGCAAGAAATATGCAGGAAGAAATGGAGCTGGATTGGATTAGCCATACTCTGGGAAAAAAACCCATCAAGTGAGTGACATCACAAGCCAGACTGTCTCTCTCAAGGGGGACCCGAATTGGAAGCGGCGTGTTGGTCATCAGGTGACACGGAGGAGGAATTCATGCGAAAAGGAAATGACAACATGTGGGCAGTCGTGGAAACGTTGACAAAAAACCGAACGCAATGGAGACGTGTGCCTGAAGCCTTATAATTATAATAGGTTGCACAACTGTGTGTTTCACCTAGTACTTTGAGTGAACAGACCTGATTTACTATTTTATTTATTTTTGATTACAGCTTGATTCCACACTGTATTTTTGATACAAGTATGGAATTTTCAGCATGGATATCGGTAGCCCAAATTTTGCAAACCGACCATAGATATCAGGTGTGCGTCGCCAGGGGATCGAACCTCGGACCATATGCATGGTCGGCGAGAGTCCTAACCACTATGCCGCCGATGCACATGAGAACCTCTCCACGATAATTAAATTGTCTAAGGCAGTTACCTATATGTACACTGGAACTATAAAGTGGTGAGTTCACTAAAAACAGATCAGTGTGTAATTGGTGATACCCTAAAGTTCTAAGTACCCGGTTTTCATTTCATAGATTTAAAAGACTCTTCAGAACAGAAAAAATATACATATATTCACTCCTAACATGGAGAAGACGAAATAATTTTATTTTCAAGACTTTGGTTTGTAAGGATTACGCCTGTTTATACGATTTTGACCACGAATTGATATCAGTTAGAGAACCATTGAAAACCAGCGTCGGAGTACTGGACAGCCAGCTGTTTCATCCTAATTCGGGAATCATCCGTGGTCAAACTTGTATAAACAAATATAATCCTTACAAACCAACCTCTTCAGAACTAATCTGATGCTAGCTAGTCACTTTCTACAGGACAGAGTTTCCTGGAGTTCTACTCAGAAGTCGTGATCAGTGAGGTTCAGCCAGTCAAGAGTGAGGATAGAGTTCCCACCGATGATATTGGTTGGTGGTCAAGCTAAGTGCACCACGAATTGGTAGAAGTAAGAATTCATGGACTGGCCATTGATTCTGATCCCAGTGGTTGAATGGTGTACGAGCTTGCTGGCCCTGTGACCAGAAGATCCTGGGTGATAACCCTGGCGGTGGGTGAGTACTGGCAATGATTCCCAAACTAGGATGAAACAATCAATGATCAATCAGAATATTGCTAAAAATTAGTAAATGCTTGTAAAACTGTCCTGATAACACAAACTAAATTGACACTTGGAGACTTCTTCGTTGAAATTCACTTTCCTAGTGTACTCATGCCATCAGAACTCTTGAACAGTCGGTGTACGAGTAAATTATCTTTATGGTAAGGTGAATCGACCATAGACAAGATGGGCCTTCTAATTATTTTGGTTATTGTGCATTATTCTAACTTCTCCTATACTTTGCACCTCGTCTTCATTGTCAAAATTTGTATGGAATTAATTGGTTATTCAGTTAAAGTATGCTTAAATAATCTCAAGATCTTTTTGCAGCTGATGAAAATCCAATGAAATAAAATGAATTCATATTATCCTGCAAAAGTTGTTTATACCGAATTAAATAGTGGCGGCCTGTTTAAAACTTGGCCTAACAAAAACTTCCATCTCTCTCTGCTGCATATATTTTCACTCGTTCGGATTGTTTTAGTCAATTAAGTTAAGACGCCTAGTGATATTATCTACTCTTGTATGTATTTGAAAAGTTTACAAGCTTCTGAGTCGCAAGTTCCTACTAAACTTGAGGAATGGCCCGATTGAGGGTTGCAGAGTGTTCCAATACATGAGATAACTGTTCTACAGTTATGTCCTTGAGTCTCAAAATATATCGTGGATTTTTTGGAGGAGACAAAGCAGATATAACATAATGGAATGGTTTGTGCTTCAGCTAAGAAGTCATTGTGTCACAGGATATACTTTCAATTAGGATTTCACTTGAAGATACTGGACGAAGGGGAAATTTCATGCAATAAACTCCTCTAAAAATAACGTACATTTAATAAATACTGTTTAGAATAACTATGTTATTATTATTCAGATTTGTACAGGGGACTATTATTATTATTATTACTATTATTATTATATCTTTTAATTCCTGGAGAAACATAGGGCTTCAGCCAAAGGTCTCCATTGCCTTCGGTTTTCTGCCAACTTTTTCACCCTGCTCCAAGTCCACCCACATCCTTTCATCTCCTCTTCACATGACCTCCTCAAAGTCACCCTCGAACTCACGACCAACTGGTCGCTTCCCTTTCGGCCCGGTTCCACTCGAACGATGGCTTGTCTAGTGATGTCGCTCACTTGATGGTTTCCTCAGAGTATGGCCAATCCAATCCACCTCCATTTCTCCCTGCATATTTCTTGCACAATCGGTTCCTGCTGAGTTGGTTCGCTCATTTCCAGAGATCCTTGTTGCTGATCTTTTCTAATCAGCCATCTGATCTTGAGTATTGAGTGAAGACAACTGTCAATGAAGGTCTGAAGTTTGTTTGAGGTGCTCTTGATGACGCGCTGGTCAAGTCTCTGATCCGTATGGTAAGTAGCACTGACTTCACATTGGAGTTGAAAATCCGGATCTCATTTTTCATTCTGAGTTCTGTTCATCTCCGCACAGACTTGAGAGTAATGAAAACTTGTCTTGCTTTTCCAATTCTGGCTTTGGTATCCTCATCAGTTCCGTCCGCCTGTAGTTGAAACGATGCTTTCCAGGTAGGTAGGTAGGTAGGTAGGTAGGTGAAGGAGGTTGTTTCTTTCAGGTTCCTCCCATTTATGCTGGCTGTTTGTTGTCTGTTGTTGTTTCTCTTGCTGTTTCTGTTGGCCAGGAATCTTCATCACTTTTGTTTAATCTATGTTCCCCTGAAGTCCTATCTTTGTTGCTTCTTCTTCCGACCTGTTGCTTTCTGGGTTTCTGGGATGGTCATAATGAATGCAAAAAACCACACATCGAATATGTTATTCACGAATTGCAGTGCTGACAATAGCAATAGGCCGTCGCTTTAAGCACCGTCGAAAAGTAAACTGTTTCCTCACTCCCTTCATCTTGATTGCTAATGAGATTGTTTGAAGCAGTCCAAGTTTGATACCCATATAACCAATATCACTCAAAGAACCAATGGAGACCAGGGAGAATCGGCAAAACTCTCGTCATCACCCTAGACTCTTCAGCGTTGCCTATTCACAACGTAACCATGGATTGAATTTAAGATCTTTAGGTTACAAGCCGACTATTCGACCAATGCGTTAGAAACCAGTGAGGCCTGAATTCTTACTTCCGTCTTCAGTGATTCTTCAAATGATAACACTTAGTGATAAGGTCGAAATGGAGACTTATTTTGGTCTACTGTCCGTAGCAATCTCTTGCCACAACTAAGTATTAATTTTACCTTTGGCTGTACTCCTTAGTGTATAAATACAAAAACAAACATTTCAGCATGCAGCTTTCACATTTTTATATCACATTCCGAGTGGAACATAAGGTTTCTGGCTTCCGTGGAGTTTCACAAGCTGTGATGTTTTTTTTTTATATTTACAGAGTGAGTTTACTAGCCCCGCGCCCCCCAGCTTTCCCTCTTTCCCGGGCCTTTAGGGAAGAACCTGCTAGGTTTTAGGAGATATCAGTATACATGTGTGAATTTAGTCACTTCATCGTTAGAATTTAAGGTAGGTCTAATGTGAATAGTTGAGTAATAAGTGGATTAGATACGACTAGGGAAAACAGCGGTTCAATTAATCTTGACACCAGAACAGTATACTCTTCACCCTCGTTACCTCCTAGAGTAACCACTTCAAATTGTATCTACCAATTCAACTGCGCTTGTGGAGCGGGTTATATTGGTCGTTGCTCTAGGAACTTGATTTTTCGTGCTCACTCGGGAACATCTCCCATTATGGATAAGTAAAGGTGTAGTAAAAACCGTCATCAGTTCGATATTAGAGCACCTGGTGCAAACCAGCCACAAAGCAGCGTGGAAGAATCCTTCTCTGTCATCTACAGGCTGCCTAGCGAATTGCCAAAATCATGCTTCAAACAGCAGAGGCTATTGCAATGCGCCTCAAACAACCAGTGCTCTGTGATCAAAAGAAGCAAGTCCAGCCCCTACTACCGCCTTGGCTGGCCTTCAGTAGAGACTATGAATTCATGAATTTGTAATATTATCTTTCCTAATTTTTATGAAATTCAGCTTATTTTATGTTGATGCTATTCAGCTGTAATCTATCAATGCTATTGATTCGATGTTATTTAAACAACATCAATGTTGTTCATAACACTAATTCACTCATTCATTCACTATAATGTATATATAACTGTAGAGCCTGATGAAGAGCAGGTTATTGAAAAGAGTACTCTTTGTTCAGTATCCATTCTTTTGAAAATAAATTAGTAACTATAGTCGAAGTGTTGAATATCACAAAATGAATATATTTCATAGGTCAGTTGACCGCCAAATGAAATACAAAGTAGCTGCCTGTTTAGCTACAAGTCGCGAACAAAATCCGTTGCGCAGATCTGAAATATGATCCTTAAAAAGTGGGAAGAATTTGTACTTTTGTGACAAGTCTTCAGAAGTCAAACAAATGATATAGAATTTTTCCTCAGGTAGATTTAATGCTTTATATCATTCTTCGGTAATATATTCAGGTAACAAAATTCTCCTTGCGTTAAGAACCTCCATAGTTTCGTTGTCAAGTTGGATATGTCAGACCACTGCTGAATACCGGTAATTCTGTCATTACAAAACATGAACAAATATCCTAATGGGTATTTTTGGGCATATTTTACACCTTATCTTAGTAACTAGACTGACTGATTGGACAACAGACTCTGACAACAGACATGGGAAGTAAAGGGCTACCTTCGTCACCACCCAATAATCAAGCATTAAGCTTCATTTAAAGCTGACCTGAATAAAGTTCAGTGTTGGGCATTGAATGTGCACACCAAAAACATACTTTAAATCACCTTCAACTTTCAAAAATAAACTAGAAAATAATTGATTTCGTTGGTGGCTAACATCAGAATCCAGTGTGTGTGTGTGTTTTCCACTGTTGAATGCTAAATCTGTAATATTGACTTCAAAAACATCATGACTTTCTTCCATCATCAATGTGAATAAATCAAATGTGTTAATCATGTGAAATGGACAAAACAAAAAGAAGAACTCTAAAAGCACTGATAAAGGATCACATGTTTGGTACACAGATCTACTGGTTCATATTTCAAATTAGATTGTGATGATTCACATGGGAAAACACTCGAAGAGGAAATAATCCCACGTTGAAATCGAGCCATCTGCGTGTTTGTATTGGCAAAGGCTTCCTTAGGATTAGTTGGTCTATACGTGATAAAAAAAATCCAGTTAACATATTATAACCTCATTATATTTTACAGTATTTGGTTAAATGTAAAAAGCATTTGTCTGACTGGCTTTTTGTATACCGCTACGTTCTCAGTAGAACATAGGGCTTCAAGCTAGAGGCTTGAAGTTTCTGTAGCAGTGGTGATTATTTTTACAGGATGGGGTTGCTGGCCTCAACCTTCCCTTCTTACCAGTCTTACTACCGGCTCAACGAGGTGAAGGAGTGCGTCGGTGGCCGGGGACAGAACCCCGGACCACCTGCGTGACCGGCGGGCACTCTACCGCTGTACCACCGACTAACTGTTTGACCAGTAGTAGCGTACAATCATCATAAACTAATGCTTGGCAAGAGTTTGTCTGTATGTTTGACTGAGAAGTTGAGTGCAGTTAAGTGAACAGGGAATGACTTTCCTCAAAGGTGTTTGTCAATCCTCAACTGGACATCAGTAAGCAAACAAGAATCTGACAATTTCTGGGTTGATATATTTAGGCCAAAAATTTGGTGTTGACAACTCCCGTTCTGCGGCATACATAATACAATGAGTAGTGGAAAACTCGAGCTCAGAAAAAAGTCTTATGTAACCCGCATAATTATTCTATAGTAGGGTAACGAGAAAGCTTCATTGTGCAAGAACAGCTAAAACTTTTATCGGTAATGATCAGAAATGTGTGTAACCATAGTTCAGATATGAGCTGGCTTGGAAATTGAAACTTAGTGAACGTCGTTAGCTAATCATGGACTAATCATACGGATTTTGGATTATACTATTATGATTCTTTTACATTCAGAGTGGAACACAGTGGTTCAACAGAACATCTCGATTATGTCCAGTTTTCTACAATCCTATTTATCTTACTTCACAAATTACCATAACCTCTCTTCTTGTCCATGCCACTCTCGGACTAACGCCCCACTAATCATCTTCCACCCACTCTCCACTCAAGAGTATGTCTGTGGCGCGATGTTACTCAGTATATGTCACTCCTCAGTGTATATCTGGTCCCTCTCCCTTTCCTTAAGGATATTTGTTCAGCAGTGTGCTCTCCACTGTTTCATTCCACTAGTTTCTTGTTGCTAATTCTATCTGACCGACTACCTGATCTTCATTATGGAGCTAGGGAAGGCAGGTGTTTGTAAAAGTCTGCAGCATCCAGTTGGAGATGCTTTCCGTGACTCTCGAACCAAGTTTCTAACCCCGTATAAAAGGACTGACTAACTAACTGACTTAACATTGATGCTGAAAATCCGAATTTTGTTAGTTATTCTGAGTTAGTAGAGAAGATTTCCAAACTGAATTCAGAGTGATGAATTTCTGTCTTGCTTTTCCAATCATGACTTGGACGTCTTCATCTGTGCCACCCACAACTGAAACGATGCTTCCTAGACAAGTGAAAAAAGTTACTTCCGTAGACTTTTCAAATATCATGGATTGATGTTGTATCAATTCTATGGTACACGTTACATGCTCATCACATGAACAAATCTTCAGTAATTAGTCTCTAAATCTCACTCCAGTTAACTCTGGTACTTTTTAATATTTTATATATAATATATATAATTGTTCCCTTGGGTTCCTAGTGGAACATAGGGCTTCAACTCAACGTCTCCACTTGCTTCTGTCTTGCTTCTGCTCTACTTTTCACCTGCATCCACCCATGTTAGTCCATACTCTTTCAACTACTACTCCTCTTCACACGATCTCCTCCATGTCACCCTTGAACTGACGACCCACTCGTCGTGTGCTTCCCTTTCGGCCTGGTTACACTCGAGAAATAGCCTGACACGCGCGCGATGTCATCAACCGGCCTCCTCAGCGAGCGAGTGTCCAATCCATCTCCATCCACTTTCTCCTGCATATTTGCTGTTGGTTGGCGATTGGCTTGTTCTTCTTTTGTTTGTTTTCTTCCCATAGTTTCCCATAGTTGGTGATTCTTTCCAACCCCACACCCCCACCCGGCCATCTGATCTTCAGTATAAAGCCAGCGAAGTCAGTTAGTTGTTGATAAAAGTGTGGTCTGCAACAGGCTGTTGGAAATATTCTTTGTGACCCACCCGCCCGCCAAGTTTCTGATCTGATCCGTATAGAAGAGCTGACTGACTTGACGTTTGTATTGAAAATCCGAATTTTGTTGGTGATGCTGAGTGACGAAGATTTCCAGATTGGTTTCAGGTTGATGAGTGAATGTGTTTCTCGCCCCCCCACCCGATTCTCGCTCGATTTGACATCCTCGTCCGTTCCGACTGCGTGTAGTTGAGACAATGCTCCCTAGATAAGTGGGTGAATGAAGTAACCTCTTCCAAATCCCTCCGTTGATGGTGATTGGCGCTGGATGTGGCTGCTTCTGTTGTTGTTGTTGTTAGTTGGTTGGTTATTTTCATAACCTCCGTCTTGTCTATGTTCACCTGGAGTCCTGTCTTCGCCGGCTGCTTCTTCGACCAGTTTGTCGGTTTTCGCTCTCTTGTAAGTCTTCTATTTTGTGTGTGTGACATCAAACATAAACCATCCACGCGCGAAATCCAGGTCTTCTAGGTTGTTCACGTCGGTCCAGGATATCCCTGTCTTCTCGTTTCCCACTGTGTGACGCATAATCCAGTCAGTTCACCACAATAAGGAATATCATTGGTGGGTGGTATATATACCATGATATCATTAAGAGTGGGAAATTGTGCTGGAAATGATTACAACAACACTGCGTGTTATATCAAACAGAATATCAAGTAGAATTTTTCATTTCTACTGTTTCACTGAGTATTATCAGAAATATGAAGGAATGAGCAAATGCGTAATTAAATCAACTCGTAATCATTTAGGTAAGCCAATAGGTAAGTAATTAGGTAAGCAATGAGAAAGTGATGGGACAGCAGTTATGCAATAGACCAGTTGGTACAGTAAACGAATAAGTGAACTTGTGATTACTTACGTAAGCATATTTCTAAATGAGTGAGTGAGTGAGTGAGTGAGTGAGTGAGTGAGTGAGTGAGTGAGTGAGTGAGTGAGTGAGTGAGTGAGTGAGTGAGTGAGTGAGTGAGTGAGTGAGTGAGTGAGTGAGTGAGTGAGTGAGTGAGTGAGTGAGTGAGTGAGTGAGTGAGTGAGTGAGTGAGTGAGTGAGTGAGTGAGTGAGTGAGTGAGTGAGTGAGTGAGTGAGTGAGTGAGTGAGTGAGTGAGTGAGTGAGTGAGTGAGTGAGTGAGTGAGTGAGTGAGTGAGAGTAATATCACACTTCTACATAGTTTCTAGCTTAGCCTTACCAGAGTAATGAATGAATACTTGTCCGATTTATAGTTTCAACTAATTGACTTTTCTGTCTTCATCACTGTATACACATCGTTTCAGTGAAATATGAGTTGATCAAGGTAAAATGAGAATGCGGTTATTTTCATTTATTTTGTACACACACACACACACAGAGTTACACGCACAACTTCTTCTCATTATCATAACTTAGATATTTAATCTTTTAGTGCAGTTTTTTCTCGCTCTGTTTACTGACATATAGGCATGTAGGCATATCTCATGAATAACCAACCAAATATTGACACACACACTATTTTATACTACTTACTCTCTTCAGTTCTCTCTGTTGAAAGGTAAACAATTGTTGTTCTTGTTCTCGTTGTTGTTGCTGTTCCTGTTGTTAATGTATTTTGCTATAGTATCAATTAGAAATAAAAACCAGTGTCAAAAAGAGAAAAAAATAATGACGATATAATAATAATAATATTAAGTACAAACAACTAAACAAAAGAAGGTATGAAACCACGAGATGATGAATGTTAATTGAGTAGATATGAGCAGTCAGTGATCCTGATTAAGATTTTTGAAAATGGGTACATTAACACACTTCCTCTTATTACTGATTTTTTCTTCGGTTCCGAGTTGAACATAGGTATTTAATAGAATTTCACCATTTCTTCCTACTGTCTACAGTCCTCTTAGGCTGGCTCAATTATTAATCCCTATTCATCACCAAACGATTTACTTCATGTAACCCTCGGATTAAAGCCTCACTAGTCGTTTCCCATTCGACTTGCAAGTGAGTGATGACTAGTATTATTATTTCCTTTACTTCCTGGAAAAACATAGGGCTTCAGCCAAAGGTCTCCATTGCCTTCGGTTTTCTGCCAACATTTTCACCCTGCTCCAAGTCCACCCACATCCTTTCATCTCCTCTTCACATGACCTCCTCAAAGTCACCCTTACACTGACGACCAACTCGCCGCCTGCTTCCCTTTCGGCCTGGTTCCACTCGAACGATGGCTTGTCTAGTGATGTCGCTCACTTGATGGTTTCCTCAGAGTATGGCCAATCCAATCCACCTCCATTTCTCCCTGCATATTTCTTGCACAATCGGTTCCTGCTGAGTTGGTTCGCTCATTTCCAGAAATCCCTGTTGCTGATCTTTTCTAATCGGCCATCTGATCTTGAGTATTGAGTGAAGACAACTGTCAATGAAGGTCTGTAGTTTATTTGAGACGCTCTTGATGACGCGCTGGTCAAGTCTCTGATCCGTATGGTAAGTAGCACTGACTTTACATTGGAGTTGAAAATCCGGATCTCATTTTTCATTCTGAGTTCTGTTCATCTCCGCACAGACTTGAGAGTAATGAGAGCTTGTCTTGCTTTTCCAATTCTGGCTTTGGTATCCTCATCAGTTCCGTCCGCCTGTAGTTGAAACGATGCTTTCCAGGTAGGTAGGTAGGTAGGTAAGTGAAGGAGGTTGTTTCTTTCAGGTTCCTCCCATTTATGCTGGCTGTTTGTTGTCTGTTGTTGTTGTTGGCCGGGAATCTTCATCACTTCTGTTTAATCTATGTTCACCTGAAGTCCCATCTTCTCTGGATGCTTCTTCTGCCAGCTTGTTGCTTTTCACTTGCATATCTTCCAGTTTGTGGGAAATCAGACATATACATGTCATCGGCGAAGTTCAGATCCTCCAAGTCTCTTTTCACGTGAGTTCATTTTATGCCTGCCTACTCATTTCCCGTTGTCTGTCTCATTATCCAATCCACTGCAATCAGGAAAATCATTGGCGATAGTAGGCAGCCAGCCAGCCTTGTCTCACTCCCGTCCTCACGTTGAAGGATTCCGTAAGTTTCTCGTTGTGGATTACTTGGCATGCAGCATTATCGTACAACTGTTGGATGAGAAGTATAATTGTCGGCGTCACCCAATTGGTGTAGCGAAGTAGTTTCCAAATCACCTCTCGATCGACGCTGCGCTTTCGAAGGCCTTTTCAAAGTCGATGAAGTTGAGTAAGGTAGAGAGGTGACTGCCATTCCGAGCTTTGTTCAACGATGATCCGTAGTGCGGCGATTTGATCAATACATGACTTGTTTCTCCTGAATCCAGCCTGTTCCGGTGGGAGTTTTTCATCCAGGTTGGCTTGTTTGATTCTCTCCAGGATGATGTTATCCAATGGCATCCTCAGTGTGTGTGTCTCATCCTTCTTCATTCCCCTCGGGATATTTTTTGAGCAGTGGGTTTTTGGTTGGTTTGTCTTGCCTTTCCAATTCTGGTCAAGATATCCTCATCCACAGGGCGTGTCTGTAGTTGAAATGATTCTTTCTAGATAAGTGAAGGAAGTGAAGTCTTTCGAATTTTTTCCACTCATTCTGATTGGTGTTTTGTTATTGTCGGTTGGTTGGTTGTCTTCACCACCTTCACATCCTCTTTATTTCCACTTGAAGTCTTGTCTTTTCTGCCTGCCTGCCTCTTCTGCCAACTTGTTGGTTTTGCCTGTAATGACATTAGACATAAGTCATCCGTGATGTTCAAATCTTCCAGTCTTCTCATCGGTCCAACATATTCATCGGATCATCGTAAAAGCCTTATCCTGGTGGTTTGACATACCTGGCTAAAGTTGTAATTAACGGAATGTGGATAACGCTTTCCTATAAAATAAAATACAATGACTACATTACAACTAGACTCTGTGATCAAAATATTCTAACCAGTTAAACTAAATCATAATTGTGGAAATTTGTGAAGATTAGTTTGTCAGACATGCCAGGGAATGAGTATGTCAGATATCGACTAACACTGTGACACTATATCTATCGGCTTACAATTATTACTACAAAAAAGTATGGCGATTAACAATGAAATATACCACAACTGCTATTCAAAACTCGTCAGCTAGACTAATCTGCATTACAATGAGTAACAATGCATCTATTGCCCCTCCAACCCAGTGCTCACTGATTTCAGCGTCCCCCAACTTTATCCCCTCATTTATTGAGTCGTGAAAGTCGTCAAAAAAACGGCATTAACTTGTGAATGATATTCCACACGATTCGAATTGTCAGTTCCTGTCGCTGTTCTGCGTCCTGGTGCCTACACCAAATACATACACCAAGGTCTGACTACAGATAATATCTAAACGTGTCTTTCAGCTGGAAAGTTTATCCCTGTCATTTCATTTCTGGCTATTTGTAGCAAATTTTGGACGCATGATTATTAATAGACGTCACAGTTCCGTGTAAAGTTAAACATCCCCATAGTATGATCGGAATATGCGGAATTTTGAACGAGCCTTTGTTTTCGATAATTCCTTCAACTACTAAAGTCATGAATTTGTGATTATTAGAGCACAAATAGGTAGTAAAGGTATATGAAAATTATATCATAAAGTGCATCGGGGTACAAGTATAGTATGGAATAATAATAGTACGTTAGTCAACATTGTCAACTAAATGCATATAAAGTGTACACTCATTCAGAACATACGATAAAATGTGAACAAACGATTAAATGACATACCAATGTATGTTTAGTCAATAGAATATAAGTTTCATTGGGGGGTAGGGAGTGAGCTATATTTTATGGTGTGAGAAGAATATAAATACCACAAAATACATACAAACATCTAAGGCATATTGAATGTCATTTCACTCAGTGTAAATTGTTCCATAGGTGATCCAAAAGGTTTACCATCCAGGGGTTTCCGATTCATGTATATACAATACCTCACTACCAAATGCAAGCATTATTCAGTATGACGTTCAAATGGCTAGAATTACAACTTATCGATCTCCATCCGTTAAAGGAGCTAAAAAGTGATATTCTAGAAGTATTTCCGTAATCTTTGAAGTAAGTTTAGGCAAAGAGAATCACAGAGAAATGAAAAATAAAAAGAAGGCATTCAAATATTGGTTTGTAGATACTCGATTGGTGTCAACCTTGATGACCAACTGACTTCAGTTAGGAGACCAGTGAAAACCAGGGAGTACTGTACAGCTGAAATGCCCGGAAATTTCAGTGAGATGTCATGACCAGTGTGGTCTGTTTAGTTGGGCGTGCGTACAACTACTCACCGATTAGATTTCCTGGCAGTCTTCTTATATACGGAGTATTGGTAGAAGTTTGAACTGATAGACCAGGGGATTTCATTCAACCGACCAAACTGTCAACAAGCTCTAATTGTAAACAACTTAAGGTCCTGAGTGATGAATGCAGCGTATTGTTGAAGATCCGTAAATCAGGTCGAAATACTACTGAAGTAGCACTTCAGTCACACTAACTGTAGCTCTAGTTTCATCTACACCAAAGTATGAATCAGTCTGTAATATGGTGGTCTGGAGATAAATCAATCAGAATCGGCCGACATAAAGTAACACCCACTATTTTATTTATCATGATTACAGACCACTTGACATATCGCTGGTGGTTGTTTGAACTTTACATTATTGCGTAAAATACACTTTTCGTGCTCACGTCGTTGTGCGTTTTCGTTTAAGTAGTGCAGCCTGGGGAAACAGATAGCTGTCGTATACTCATGATTACCAAGTCTGTGTTCAACTTGACGTCACTATTCCATTCTCGATGTATTGTGAAAAATAACAGTCAAGATATTCAGTTGGAAACTCATGATGAAGCAGAAGTTAATATCACAGTCTGTGTTTACCTATTCATCAAGAATCAGCTATGTTTCTACAGTGTTTCCGCATGAGTGTATTTGTGCGCAGATATCTGTGGATTCTGTAATACTTTTTGGCGGATTTATGGGTGTGTGTGTGTGTGTGTGACAATGTGTATAAGCACATACGGGTGCGTTGAAGTAACCCTGTGTGCAAAAATATGTTTATGAAAAGATAAGTATAATAAATTGTCACACATACAACACCACTCACTGCCTCTAATGATTCGGAGTTTGTGGTAGATGATGGTAATGATGATGACGATGAATGCAAGGTATGAATACTGACTGTTTACATTGAAGAGACATAGAGAGACATACACCGATTAATTATCAACTAGACACAGTATGTGTACACTCTATGCCTAACATTTGCGTTTTGTGTTTTGTATATCTTGTCCAACTATTTCTCTCTGTCTGCGTGTGCGTGTGTGTGTGTGCCTATGTTCCTACACATTTTTCTAGGTGTAAATGATCATTTTTCAGGCATTATTATTATTATTATTAGTAGTAGTAGTATTTACGTGCTTCACTTCCATCAAGGATAGCAAGTGACTCAGTAACCTACCGATTTACAGATTTGTTAGTTTGGCTTCCAAATTCTTTTTTCTTTTTTCATTCCTTTCATTTTTATTTTATTTTATCTCATCCACCTTAGTAGTGTTCTTAATAATGAAGACCAGAAATAGAAAGAACGAATTACAAACATTGTTTCCTCTTTATCTTTTGCCATTT